TAAACATAATAAAATTTTATACACACACACACACAAAAAAAAAAAATCTGAAAGTCTTCAGATTTTATATTACTGAATATTATATTTATATTACTTCAGATTTTATATTAAGGTCCATTTTTTAACTTTTTGCGTGTTACCTTTATTTATTAAATATCATGTTTTTCGCACTTAAACCATAAAATTCAATTCAACAGCAATATCATATAATTTTAAAAAAGCATATCTTTAGAATTTCCAATACATAGTCTCGCGCGCTAGAGATGAAAATGCTTTTTTCTCTCTTTTTTTTTCCCCGTACAATGTTGGCATTGCTCGCTTTGAAATCGTTGGGTTTCTTAATCAAAACTCATAAATGCTTTACAAAATATGAAATAGATAATAAAACAAATTCCCAGTTCCAATATGGGCCTCCAGATGCCTACATTAGGATGGAGGATTATGTTATTCAGCATTTCATGGCTCTAGGTACAGTTGTTTTATCACAGTGCGAGAAAACATTCATACATTCTGCAGATTCCTCATTATTTAATTTCTTTAAATATAATAGAGTGCGATAATACTTGGTGGCAACGATTTGAAAGTGAAGCGCCACAAAATGGCAAAACGAATTAATAGGCCCTCTGTGCTAAAACGTATTATTAAAAGTATCACACTAGTAGTAGTACAGCTACTGAAAAAAAAATATTTTAAAGCTATTTTATAGTTTTATAATTTTTTATTTTATTATTTTTTTACAGTATAGTGTGAATTTCGCGTAATGAACGACATTCCTTTTGTGGTCACAGTATTATTCGTAAGGTATTCAACTGTTAGATTTTAAAGTAAACGTAATTCTTGCTGTACAAGAAGCTTATCGGATGTTTATATTTGTATTTAATGAAGAAGAAGGTTTGTGTGCTTGATAAACTTATTATCTTCTACATTTTTAAAGCATACAATTACAATTTATATCTATAATTTCAGGAACAAGCATAACCTTCTTTCAGTAGAAATTGCGTTCTTGTTTTCTGAATGTGGCTGCAAATACTTTCTCAATTCATCGCAAATTAAAATAACTATAAATTTTGACAATCTGAAATACGCAATGAAAACATCTTTAAGCAGAGCAAAAGCATCAACATATTTTCTATAAATTCGCCACCGATTCAGAGATCTACGACTGTATTCTTTGTTTAAATATGAAAAAATCAGCGGCGAAAACACATACAAAGCCATTCTCTACTTAGTACGTCAACTGCACAACCCTGATTGACGACGCGGCAGCACTTTTTCACGCGCTTTCGATAACTTCCGTACTCAGAGAATATAGGATGTCGGGCAGACCTGTTTTTTACTAGCAGCGACATCTGGCGGCCCACAACTTGCTGTCGACTCTCGTAGCGTAGAATAACTGTCCAGGAATGACACTGCACAAGTGGTGCAGTAATCATGCTGAACTTGCGGAAGAAGATCACTCCTATTCCTTTCCTAATGAAGCAGAATCTACAACACTTGGAGTGTCTTGGAGGTCTAGAAGAGACTGTTTCTGTTTTAGAGTGAAACTCGATAATGACATAGTTGTTACCAAACGACAAATATTGTCCACAATTGCAAGATTGTTTGACCCGATTGGTTTACTAGGGCCAATCATAAGTAAAGCCAAAATATTTCTCCAACGGTTGTGGTTGTTAAAGCTGAATTGGGATGAATCACTACCAAAAAAGGAAGCTGATGAGTGGAAGAAGTTCTCTACTGAACTGGAAGTTTTAAGTAAAATAGAAATTGAAAGGTTTATTCTTATTGCAGAAGTAGACTATGTGGAACTGCATGGATTTGCAGATGCCTCTGAGGTAGCATACGGAGCAACCATATATTGCAAGTGCCGTTCGAGAGATGGAGAAGTGAAGACACAAGGCTAGTGACGAGTAAATCCAGAGTCTCGCCTATTAAACGAGTTACTATTCCGAGACTGGAGCTTTGTGCGGCAGTCCTACTTGCAAGGTTGATGGTTAGAGTAATATCTGCATTAGAGATTTCTGTGAACAACGTTTATCTGTGGAGTGACTCCATGATCGTGCTTTCATGGATACAAAAGGAGCCTTACCAGTTGAAGACATTTTGTTGCAAATCGAGTGGGCAACAATTCAAGAGTTGACTAATGGTCATCAATGGCGTCATGTGTCATCAAAGGAGAATCCGAGTGACCTTATATCCCGAGGTTTGGATCCCCAGTAAACTTCTACAAAATGATATGTGGTGGAAAAGGCCCTCTGTTCCTGAGATAACGACGACTACCCAAATAGAGAGATTTCCGGTGGAAGTCATTGTGAAGGACTTTCCAGACGAACTTAAAATCCTTAGTGACTCTAATATTTTTCTTAATGTGAAAGCTAACCCTTTCATTGAGGATTTCTTAAATTTAAGTAACAATTACACTAAAATTATCCGTCGTGTTTTAAGTTTTATTTTTAGGTTTGTAAACAACTGCAAAGGGAAGGATAAGGTTTCAGGTCCTCTTCAGAGCTCAGAATTAAAATTAGCTGAACTTAAACTGATTAAGCTAATTCAAGATAGTGAATTTAAAAAAGAAATCTCAAGCCTTGAAAAGGAGGGTAAGGTACCTCCAGATAGCAAGGTAAGAAGTGTTTTTCCATTTTTAGATCAATATGGGAATTTTAAGAGTTGGAGGCAGATTAGCTAATTGTAAGTTGAATTTTGATAGAAAATTTCCATATAATCTTACCAAAGAATCATAAGTTGACTAATCTAATTATTGTGGATGTTTCATAAGAAATACATGCATGTATGGTCCACAAGGCTTACTGTCTATTGTTAGGACAAGGGTTTGGCCCTTAAACACGGCGCAACACTTGTAGAAAAATAGTACATGAGTGTGTCGTATGTTTCAAAGCAAAACCAGTGCCCTGTCAACAACTTATGGGTCAACTCCCTCAAGAAAGAGTCAGCCGAATTTTCCGTTCAATTGTGTTGGAGTTGATTTTTTTGGTCCTTATTTTATAAAATACCCACATCAGAGAAAAGGTCGCCTTAACAAGGTGTATGTGTGCATTTTCGTTTGTTTTGTTACCAAAGCTTGTCATCTTGAGTTGGTAACAGAGCTGTCTAGTCAAGCATTTATTGCAACCTTAAAGCGTTTTTTCAGCAGGAGAGGCAAGTGTGCACGCATATTTTCAGATAACGCAACCAATTTTGTTGGTAGTAACGCAGAATTAAAGAAATTGAATAGGCTAGTCAGCAAACCAGATGATGAATTAGGTAATTATTTATCGAGTGAGAGTATTGATTGGTCGTTCATTCCCCCTAGAGCTCCCAATCATGGAGGTCTTGGGAGGCAGATGTCAAATCTGTTAAGTTTCATTTGAAACGCGTAGTAGGCAATTTGAAACTAACCTATGAGGAGTTTCTTACAGTAATTGCTCAAATTGAAGGCATTTTGAATTCTAGGCCCTTGCAACCTTTATCATCCGAACCAGAGGATTTTGATATCTTGACACCAGGCCACTTCCTGATAGGCAGACCTATCACGGCTATTGCAGAACCTAATATATTGACTAAAATAGTACAAACAATTTGGAAGTATTGGAGAAATAACTATTTTGAGTGCAATGCAAGGAAGAACTAAATGGTTCTTTGAAAAAGACAATGTCAAGGTTGGAACTATGTTAATTTTAAAGACTGATAATGTTCCTGTATGTAACTGGCCTCTTGGCAGAATCGTAGAGATATTCTTAGGTAAAGACAATAAGGTTAGAGTAGTTTCAGTGAAAACGAAAGGAGGTATTTTTAAGAGATCAATTAATAAAATTTGTCTTTTACCTATGCCAAATTAAACAAAAAGTATGTTTGTAATTAATTTATTGTATTTTCTTATTATAGTAGTTTGATTTGTTGATGTTATTATTTGATGTTTACAATTATTTACCTGTATTTCGTATTGTCACTCTGTGTAATTTTTTATTGTAAAATTTAATTTTGAATGATTACATCATGTCAAGGCGGGCGGTATGTTGCGCCTGCGCGCGCATTTCATTACTAGCGTCGGCGCATGCGCTCTTTGAGCTCTTTGAGTTTGTGACATGAGATTGTGAGCTTAAGAGCGTGTGAGAGAATTTGTGGCTTCGAGTGGCCATGAAACTAATGTAAATTAATGAGAAATTAAAAGTGAGATATAATACAGTCCATTGTTCCTGAGTTTATTGAATTATAGTGTAGTGCCTGTGCAAAACAACCAACAAACTCAAAATTGTAAGCAATCGAGTGAAAACAGAGATCTTGGTCATTTCTGTGTTCTTTTGTGATATTTTTATTTTTGAAATTAATATTTTTTTTAATCAAAAATGTTTTTATTCATCCACAATCACTCGTATTTTTTTTTTTTCTGCAAAAATAAAGCATTTAATAAAAATCTAATATTATAATTTTGTTAATCTGATTTTAGACTTTTAGGAAGGACTCATTTCATTCATTAAAAGAAAAAAAATTAAAGGTTTAAAATATCTTCTTTAATAATTAAAAATATTTTCGAGATAAAACCTTTGGCAATACTGTTTTTACCGCTTGAATTGGCAACACTTCTCGTTTCATAAACACGAGGAGTTGGTGAACAGCTTATGTGGCAGTGAGAGGGAAGAATTAAATTATGGTATTATTTTTTAAATTTTAGTTCTATTTTATATTATAGTTATGAATCTGAATATTCTTATTGTGCGGTTAAACTTCAGGCTATTTTTTTATTAACTTGGTCAGTTTGTTATTTAATAGCTTTGAAACATGAGGTTGTCGGGCATGGCAGCCATTTTGTAGGGTATAGATATTACATTTTCTGGTTTTTAAAATATATGATTTAATAAATGATATGGTAACAAATTTCCTAAGCATTTCATAATTTCCTTCACGTCTTTATTGATAAGTCATATGTAGAGAATAAAAGATTTAATTCCGCTGAATGGTAAACTGCTTGTGCTAGTAATTTTCTTTATTATTGAGAATTTTATACGTGTTTCTTATAAACTGGTAACAGATAAAGATATTTTTAAGCACATACATTGAAAGATGTATAGGAGATTGTTATAACGTTGTTAAATCGATCACTGGAAATTATCTGATACATTATTCAAATTGTGCTGTTTTAGAATTCCAAGAGATTTATAATTTCTGATCAGTAGTTAAGTGCAACTAATTATCGAATATTGTTTTCACTCTTTGAGCATTTTTTGTTAATCGAAAATTTAACCCTGGAATGCTAAGCCTTTGAAAAACTTAACGCGAATGGTATACCATTCGTCTCCGAGAAAAATTGTGCGTAAGCGTGTTTAAAACCTGTTTAAAAAGTTAATTAAAATAAAAGTATACTACCCGCAGATGATTCAAGACTTTGGAACTTCAAGTTAGTAAGAAACTGTACGGGCAAAATGCGTAAATTTTTCTCTTTCTTGTGTCAGATTGTTCAGGAGGCTCGAAGTTCAAATCTAATTTCTTACAGTTCCCCTATAATTGTTCTTGTTGATCAAAGCAGAGTTGGTATGCTGTAATGCTTCTTCATTCATGGAGCAAGAACATCTTAAATTAGCTTTATTGCGAACATTTTTCTCAATAATAGTCTTTTCGTATTTTATATTATGCACATGTTATATATATGTGCATAATATATACATACACATATATAACATGTGCATTCAATAAACTAATATTTATCATGCTGCAAAACACAGAAAAAAGGCCTTCACTGAGTTTTTCTACTGCGCGACATGGTTGCATATCTGATTGAATGTATCTGCAGTCCCTATGTGTCTGTCTGCTCTCCTTTGGTTTTTAATAAATTGAATAATGTTGCAAGATGCTGTACTTTTGTTGCTTGATGTAGGAACAGATAACCACTTCACTACCATTGCAGAGTTGCCAACTCTTCCGATTTTCGACCGCTCTCCCGCCAACCCGATTTACAATATATTTCTCCTGACTTATTCTTTAAATTTCTCACGATTTTTATGGAACTTGGCTTAATACTTTGTTATATGAACAAACAAAAAATGGTTTTGGACGTCTGAAAGCAATTGAATTTTCTCTAATTATATCTAAAACAAAACCTTGTGAATCAGATAACTTCTGCTTTTGAGTGTGAGCATATATGTATCCAGAAACATCGTTTTCCAATGGGTATTGAGCTCCAGTGTGTGTCATCTGGCATATATTAGCCAATGAGGACAAAGCAAGCTGTTATTTGGATGTTTTTTAGTTATTTCGTTCATTTTGCCCCAAGTTGTGCGAGTACACGTGCCTTCGGAAAATAGTTTTAGAAGTTATCATCTTTTGTTATGCCTGCGAAAAATGTGAAATACTTGTGTACGTTTCAAAAATCGCACACATTTGACTTTCCTTCCATTATTTCCTCAAGGAAATGTAATAAATTTGCGATTTTTCGATTTCACAGGGTGGAAGGGCGGATGTTTTTAAGCATGTGCATACACAAAAACGCAAGGACAACATGAGTTGTTTTGGAAAAAAAAAAGGAAAATTTAATTTTTCTTCGGAAACAGGACCGAAAAGTTAATGCAGAATCTCTGTTCTCTGCCTTTTTACTGGAGCACAACCTGCCACTGAATGCATCGGATCACGCTGCAGCTTTATTTAGAAAAATGTTTCCCGATAGTGAAATCACTAAGAAATACTCAAGTGCAAGAACCAAAACAGGTGCAATTGTTAAAGAAATGGGTTTGAAAAATAAATCTTTAGTTATTGATTGCATACATTTTTATTACTTGCATCAATTCTACTTCTCTACGGATGGAAGCAACAATACTGATTCAAAGCTGTATCCAATTGTTTCTTTTTTTAATCCAGAGTCTTCAGAAATTGAGTGCAGTTTATTTTCTGTCCCCACTTTAGAAGGACCTTTGACAGGCTTTAATTTTTAGCACAGCAAATTATTAAAACTAAAAGAAAATGCAGTCCCTCTGGATAATTGCTTAGCACTTGGTGCCGATAATGCACCAGTATTGGTAGGCTTGGGAAAGACTGGTGTTGCAGGCATCTTAAAGGAAAATTCAGATTTGCAGATTGTGAGATGCACCGGTCACCTCTTAGATTTAGCAGCTGAAAAAGGGACGGCTTCTTTACCAATAAATGTAGATGAACACATTGTTGATATTTATTATTATCTTGAAAGGAGTTCCAACAGCAGTTTACGATTAGAAAACTTGGATGAAGTTATAAAATCAGCTAAGATTGACACCCAGTGGACTTTAATTGGAAAACTGAAAGGGGCTGATGGAATTTTAAACATAGTGTACTAGTCTAGAATTATGTTGGCCATCTTGACAGTTCCCTATAGTAGTGCAGAGTGTGAGAGGATTTTCAGTGTTGTTGCAAAAACGAGGACTAAATTTAGATCTAATATTAGCGATGACACATTAGAAAAACTTATTTGCAAAAGCAGGCCTACGTGGCAATTGCTATGAACAAAATTATGAAGTTTCCTTTTTAAAGAAAGCAAAATCTGCCACTGTTTATAACATTTGTAAGAAAACTGATTAAAGTCTTTTTTTTTTTTTTTTTTTTTTTTTTTTTGTATTCTTAAATGATGCAAGTAATAAAAATGTTTTTTATGTGTAAGGTATTTTTGTGTTGCTTCTATTTAAGAATTAGTTACTATTTAAAGTTAATTCATTATTAAGAACTATATTTTTATCATTTAAAAAGTCTTTTTAACATTGTGAAAAATCTCATGATTTTTGAGTGTTAAAGGTTGGCAAGTATGCCATTGAGTTGAATTTTATCAGGGTAAATAATAGATTTTTTATCACTCGATTCCAGAATTTTTTAACTTTTTAAGCATTTTCTTCTTTTTTAGCTCCATATTTAAGATTAATATTTCTTCATCGTTATTGTCAAATGATAATTCCTAATTTTCATCTGTACTATTGGATTTTGAGAGCCGTAAAAAGTCGCCAAACTATTATCGATGCCAGTGCTGCCAAAAATAATTGCGGCAACTCTAACGAAGGGAAGTATAATAGTAAATAACTATTTAAGATTGATGTTTTAATTTAGATGAAATGTTAATTTTATGTAATACTTTTTTATTATTATAATTTATATAAAAAAGGCTAAACATGACTGAATGGAAGCATGAAAGTAAATGAGTATTTCAGATCATGGTGAATCTTCGGATTATGGTAACTTGGTGATTTTTTAGTTTTTTTTTTTTTTTTTTTTTTTTTTTTTTTTTTTGGACGCCATTTTGTTTTCACGATGCAAAGGATTTTTTTTTTAACTCAACATTTTTTCCAACAATCTGCTAGCCGAATTAAGCTTATGCTAGAACTTTTATGGAACAAAAGTGCTTAATCATTACGGAGATTAGGTGCAGAATCGCCCACTGCTTCACGTGTTAAGAATTGCACATACGTGGTATCCATGTACACGTTGACCTATTTTCACTTGAAAAAAATCCCAGAGTTGCACAAAAATGGCATTGCGCACATGCTTTATCCATGTACATGACCTATGTTCACTTAAAAAGTCAAAGAAAATTGACAAAAATCTAATTCTTCTTACTCTTGTAAAAAGCGCCAAACAAATAAGTGGGTGATTCTGCACTTTAGCAGTGAAATTGTTTCTAAGTGCTTATTAGCTAAAATCACGATCAGAATTTTCCGGAAAATGTCACGTCTCATGATCTCTTTTTTTCTCTGAGAAAATAATCTGTGATTCAAACTGTGTACTTCTCAGATTATTGCTAAAGTCCTACCTAGTAACCTTTATTGCCTTACCAAAATGTCGCAAAACTATCTGTTACCATATTCCAAAGATTAGCCCCGATCATTTTTATAATTTATATAAAAATTGCTAAACATAACTGAATGAATGCCTGCATTGCTATTTTGCTAGCGAGTTCTCACTAAAGCATAATTTCATCTCGTTGGTTGTTCAAACATAATTTTCTATAATGAATGATGCCTTTTCTTTGAAACAGTTCTCGGTAAAGTGCAGAATCGCCCACTTATTTGTTTGCCACTTACTACAAGGATAAAAACAATTTGTACATGGATATAGAGAATGTGCAATTCTTAAAAACGTGTCAACCAGTGGGTGATTCTGCAGTTTACCCAAAATTCTATTGCAGACTTTTCGTCATGGGTAATCACCAAATTGTTAAATCCATAGGATATCAAAAAAGGATTTAAAAATTAAACTAGTATTTCAATAACATCTTAAGAAATATAGAGCTATATAAACTTACACAATCTGAAATGAGCGTGTACGCTAGATTTGGCATGCTGTTAAATGAGCGCTTTTGCGCATACATTTTCGCTGCAATTTTTTTCGGCTCTCAAAATGGAATAGTACCTTTTCATCTTTGTTGCTATCTGTGAATTGGTGATTTTCAACCTCAGCAAGATCATCTTTCTCCAATTCGTCCGAAGAAATAGAATTTTCTTTATCAAGATAGCCTCAGGTTTATCCCAATAATTTTCTTCACAAAAACTCTGACGTCTTCAAGGTAACATAGAAGTGAACCTAAGTCAGATTCTGAAATGAAATGTTACAGCTAACCATTCATCTGCGAGACAAGTATTGTTCTAAAAATGCTGCATGCAGAAATATTTCGGTAAGAAGGAATGTTCTTATCTGTAGTAACCAAGATCACATAAAAGTAATGAGTCGCATGTCCCGATTCCTGTTTTAGCAAAGGCTGGGTAAGGTTATTTGTTGTGGCCTTTGTCCAGGAGATGATTGCGTTAAGTTATGAAAAATATTCTACCTTTTAGTATCCTCTAAAATTTGCCCCACAGAGGTATTCGTATGGAAAATTTGTTTACAAGTAACAATTTTACAAGTTTTTTTTGGGGGGGGGTAAATTTAACATAATTACGAAAACGGTCCAGTAAACTTGTAAGAAGTCCTCTTAATTTTAAATGTGAGTATGCTAAAGTAAAAAAAAAAAAAAAAAAAATCAATTTAACAAATAAGTTCAAATACCTATAAGAAATCAAGACCCTGCAGAAGTACCCAATTCGTTGTTATCTGTGTAGCTTTTATATTGTTTCTGAGGTTAGCCTTGCATTGAGTGTAGTGTGCTACATCGATCATATTTAATGAATATGTTGGTTATTGTAAGTTAATCTAAGAAATTGTGATGTTATTGGGTGTATTACCCTTTTATCTACAATTTTTTAAAATCTAAAATTCTGCTTAAATTATTTTAGCCACCTAAGCAAGATCAAAAGAAAAAAGACCCCAAAGCTGGGGCTAAGAAAAAGGAAGGTGGATCTTCAGGAGGTAAAGCTAAGAAGAAGGTAAAGTGTATTTTAAATTATTTAATGTCCGATAAATAGTCAAAACACTTCAATATAAATTGAGTTTGCATGGTAAAATGAATAATTAACTATTTTGTAATGTATATCGTGAAACATTCATTGAAAATGTATGAGAAAATATGGATATCAATAAAACAGTTTGAAATTTTTGCTAAAACTGGATATTACGTGCCGGTTTTGCGAATTTTTAAGACAGTTTCAAAAGGGTGTAAAACATTTTATAACCAAATTAAAAAAAATTGTAATAAGCAGTAAAAGAGCAATAAATAGGAAAATATTGATTCATATATAAACTAAAACTTTAAAAAATGCAAAAGAAAAACTAAGATAAAAATTCGATCACCTGAAACCTTAGTCATAGTATATTAAAAAAGTGGTTTAACAGTTTTAACTACATAATTATATATTTACAGTAGATTTTTATTTATAATAAACAGAAGAAAACCACACTTGTTTATATCTATGCAAAATGTAACACAAAATGGCGCACTCATTTCAGTGTGCTTAATCGCAAATAATGAACTTTTCTAATGACAATTGCTTTTATTGTAGTTTTCAACTGTATTGATCAATCATCCATAATAAATTGATTTGTGCATTTCTGACCCCAGATTCACCCTGATTCAAATTCACGGGTGTTCGTTCCTCAGAAAACCAAGCACCCTTTCGCACATTCCTTTTGACCTCGTGTTTGGAAGGATCAGACACGACACCTCCATTCACACAAATCTGTCACATATTTAAACTTATTTCATACAATTTTTGCACTTGGGACATTCGAAAACATTTGAAGCCGAATCACAATTCATTCACTATTCTATTGCGCATCTTTTGCCTTTATCTTCCAACCAAATCAAATAATCAAAATTCACATGTTTGATGCTTTTGACACCAGCCATTTTGCGCACACTACTAAAAAAGAAAATTAATATTCAGAAAGCCTGGTTAAATAATATAAACTGTAACCCTAAACGGCAAAGATTTTCATTAACGACAAAAAAGGGGGGTTGCCAGATTTGGTGCGATTTCACTCAACTTGGCATTTGGTCCGTAAGCTCTAGTCTAGCCAAAAGTTTCTTATAAGGATTGTCAACAATTTCTTAATTGCTATTTCATTGCTTCTAAGCTAACATTGTAGAGAGTTGAAATTTTTAAAATTATGTAAGGAACATTCACGACTGGTAATGATTACTAATTATGTCGAGCCATGTTCCAGTTGTATCAAAAATATTACATAGGAAAACTGCTTGTGCAGTGCTTTCAAAGTAAAAAGAATTAAGTGTAAATGTATCAAAATCTGATTTTTATAGGCTAGATTTTCATTTTGTGTGCATAGAAAGGTTTGCTTATTTCATGTCTTAGTGTTACAAAAGAATTTAATTTTTTTTGAGATAATAATAAATGTTTAAATTCTGTAATGCGATAAATAAATTTAGTTTTCCAGAAATTACTATATTTTTATCTAATCAGTTAAAGAGAAGTTATTTGTCAAGAAGTGTATGAAATATATTTGATGGTGTGGTGTATTTAATTATGGCAAAGCACACTAGGGCTATCTGCCTAAGGGGAGGGATGCCTTCGTGGAGGACTTTCTCAAGGAAACTGCCTCGTATACATGTTACACATGGGGAAAACCACGAAAACACCCTGAAATATATTTGAAATGTCAACTAATAACAATTGGTAAGTAATTGCTGCATTCATTATAAGCAAAAATGCAATGATGACGCTTGTGGGCAGAATCTTTTGTGTTGAAATTTGTCCCAACGTGCTGAGCATGTGATAAGTACTTTGCAGAAGATATAATTTTTTTTAAAGAAATTTATATATTTAAAGTAATATGAAAATTATGTGTATGTCAGAAAAAGAAATCAGATGGATGGTAATTTTTAATTTTCAGATATTTTTAAGTTGCAGATCCACCAGTAACAAATTTATGAACATAAATTTCTTTTTTGATGTGATAGTTTGCTGCTAGACTTTTACTCTGTGGTAATGACCTTCCAACTTCTGAGAGGGAATAATGTGCTGTAGTGTTATAACTTAAGCATAATTTTAAGCTGTCTTTTAATTATATAAGCTTGTAAACTGCTTTTTTAAATTAGAATGGTTTCTGAGGAGTCCTTCAATTCCCTTATTCCAATTAATTCTTTACTTATATTATTCTTTACTTAAGAAGCAATGTTTGATCATTCTCTTTCCTTCTCTTAGACTGTGCAGCAGTAAGTTATGTAACTAGGTTTTTAGCCAATTATCTCGTTTCATATTGCAACTCCTTTCCCATCACTAACTGCATATCTCATGCCTTCTTATTTTCGGCTACAGTAAAATCATTTTATACTTTCCGTTTATCTGCTACATGCTACAAGAACTAAATGTTCTAAAATTGCTCATACAAGTGAAATTGTTCACCTGAGTTATGAAACAACTTGATACTGTTTTTAAACATGTAAAATGTTTCTAAGCCAGTGAATTAATGAAACCTAAACTAGGGTAATTCCATTCTTCTACCTCTAGTGATTTTCAGAGTAAAATTTATTAAATTTTATTTCATTTGAGTTCTGTATTTTTCGTACTACATTTTATTGACATTAATAAAATTTCTTTTCATATGAAGATTCAAGCAGTGTTCAGTCAGATAATATTTTGCATATAAATTTTTTATTTCAATATATGGGACATTACTAGGGATATTATTAATTTTATTTTCATCATATTTAAAAGTACTTTCATAAATGAAGGCTTTCCTTCACTACTCGGGTATGCAATCACAAAATGAAATTAACAAAAAAGCTTATGATTTATCTATAATTAAATGCTAATATAGTATTTTACATCAGAGTTGAATTAGATAGTTCAGTAACCTGATCTTGTGATGACAAAGTGAATTAATATCAGTGGAATGAATACCTTTAAATCACTATTCAGCATGAAAACATCACAATTTTTAAAATTTCAAGTTTGGCTGCCGTGATATTTAGCAATGATTTTTTTTTTTTTTTTTTTTTTTGCTTTATATATTTTCCACCTAAATTTAAATTTCCACATTAGCTAAATTTTATATGTGGTAAACTTTTTGTTAAGTATTATAAATTTCAAGTCTGCCATGAAGAATAATCTTCCTGGTCTGAATTGTCTGTGGATAATATTCCTAACATATTCTGAGTGTATATGTAAAATTTATAAATGTTTAAAATGTATGGACCTGTTGATTTTATAACCTGCTATTCTACCTTATAGTATAGATTTTGTCTCTTGGTTTTATATGTGATGTGTTTGAACAACCTTTAGGGTGAAAATTTCCAGTCTGTTCTGACTGCATATGAGAATCTTAATAGTTTAGATAATAAAGCCGAAGATTTTATAATATACCACTCTTTTTTGAATATCCATAGTTATTCTAATGTTCCATTGAAAAAAATTGGCAAACCTCATGAAAATTTTCTGTTTTTGGTTCTTGTTAGGCAAATATTGCTTTTTTTATTCATATTTAATATCCAAGTAATACTCGTTAGAACTGGTTATTTTAATAGCTGATTGTTCACCTGTATCAAAAAATTCGAAAGAAACCAAGCATGCTTTTATTTTGAACCTTTTAGCTTTTTTTTTTTTTTTTTTTTTTTTTTTTTTTTTTTTAATGCTGTTCTAGAATTATGTCTTGGGAGAGAGAAGAGGAAAACTAAGTTCCAAAAAAGGCATATGGGAAAGACTTTTTTTTAAAACGCAAAATTTAAACTTGGACAATATGAAAAAGATAATCCCACGTCAGCCTGGCGCATGTTTATAGAAACTACTTTTTTCAAGTTAGAAAATGATCTGCATAATGATATGGCCATCTTAAAGCAGAGATACTCAGCACATTTATGAAGGTGTTACTGTGTTTGAAGGTTAAATTACTATTTTTCCAGTAATGTTTTGAAATAGCTGTTAAATTTTCATTTTACTTGCATAGTTTTCTTTTTACCACAGATGGTATCTGCAAAATTAATCTAGAAAATATACTTGAATAACAATTCTTTCAAATCTTGATTTTCATGTGTTTTTCTCAACATTTTATGAGTAAAGTCAAATATTTCTTGGTTCTCTAATATCAGAGAAAAATAATAGCACCATGGAACACATTTGGTGATAACCATCTTTCAGGTCTGTTTTTTTCTTTTAATGTTATTCCTAGCATATTCTGAAGTATCATGCATAACTTGCCCAATTTGATTCTGTAAGGAAAGGTAAAATTAACAGATGTGCTGAACCATTTAAAAAAAAAATTTTTTTTTTTTTTTTTTTTTTTTTTTTATCATTTCAACATGTTCTAAGGCAGGTGTTCTTAACCTCATGCTCGCGAATGCCAATGTGCCCGTGAAGCTATTTTTGTATGCTCGCAACAGTCTGATATATACTATATTAGCATCAACTGTGGCCAATCTACGGCCCAAAAATCTCCTTAAATGTAACTATTTTGAATTTTTTGTTAGCTTTTTAATGTGGGGTATTGTTTATGATGCTTATGATTGCAATAAAATAAAGAAATATTAAGAATCGTATTCTTACTGTGCTTGCAAGCATTTCCTGTTTGCCAGATGTGGTTATAAACCCTTCTAAGGCATTACATTCAGTGGGTTTCCCCCGCAAATTTGTGAGCATTACTTTTTCTAATAAACTGAAAATATATTGGCATAAATAAGACACATGATCAGTTATCAGCAGTACAATAATAGTGCGTGTCTATATATATATATGTATTACTGTAAAAATGCTTGATGATGAGCTATCTTTCGGGTCTGAATTTCTTGTGGAAATTTTGTTCTGAAGCATTCAGTAAAAAATTCACATAATTCCCAGCAATCTTATAAACCATTAAATAGATGCCCCATCTCCACCCAGTGCTGAAGGCAAAGCTAACATAAGCATTAAGATGTGATGATGAATGTTCTTTCGGATTTGAATTTTTCTGTGGACATCATTCTCAACATGTTCTGAAA